AGGAAAATGAATCAGAGGTAAGATGCAAAACTTCTAACTATTGAAATTAGATATGGGGGGGAACCAGACTTGCAAAAAATTGCCATCAAATTTTACAATTCAACTTTACCATTACAGGGAAGATTCATGACAATGAGAAAGTCAGTGATGACATTTCTGTCAATCAGGAATTCCTCCTTGGAGGAATCCATTTCTGATTCCCTTTGGCAGCAGATGTTGAAGATATTAAGCTATCAGAGAATCAGTGAAGCACATGGGGAATTATCTAATGTCCCAGTCTATAACATTAAGTTACATCTAAAGCCCTTGCCATTGTACCAGAAGGCGGTGCTGCTAATGCTTGTTGGTTTTACAGTGTACTGTACCTTTCTTTAGTTTAATTTTATTCATTTGGGTTTTGAAAGTGCCTTTTTGAAAAAAAGAAGAAAAATTAATTTATGAGATCAGTATGGACACCGCACTGGTACATGATGTTCAAAGACATTGTACTGAGTGAATGCCTCAGGATGAATGCCTGGCAAGTAGCCACACGTTTTAAAGGAAAATTGTTCAAATGAATTTATTTGCAAAGGGGAAAAAGCCTGTTTACTACAGTGGGGAATGTGGCCCAATCATATTTTTTTTAATTTTCATTTGTATTTCAGCTTTTGTGGATGATGATGAGGAAGAGGAGAAGGAAGTAGAGGAAAAACTCTTATATAATGCTTTTCTTCCCTAGATCTCAAAGCACTTTACAAAGGAGGACCCCAATTTTAGGCATGAGGACATGGAGGCACAGGGAAGAAAAGTGCTTTGACTAACAAGTCAGTGGTAGAACCAGGAAAAAGAAATCATAATGAAATACTTCCTTTTCAGTACTGATACATACTGATTGAATACTGATATATATCCCCCTGCTTATATAAGGCCTCTCAGAAATCTAGTATCAGATAGGCAACTCACAAACATTAACCAAACCACTCAATCCTCATGTGAGATTTGCCATTATTAAAAAGTTCTTAGTATGTGTACATACAGGCCCTTTACAATGAGGCTGTTTGGGTTCTTTGTGTGGCTCATGCTTGCACAGTCAGTATTCATAGATTCATAGATGTTAGGGTCAGAAGGGACCTCAATAGATCATCGAGTCTGACCCCCAGTGGGTATATTGGTTATACCCACTGGTTTTGTATGCAAGATTTTTTTTATTTGGAAGAGTCTATCTTTAGAAAGTAAACTTTCCGTGTCACCCAGCTGGACTTTTCCAAAACACTTACTTCCAAAGATCATTCCTGTCCCAGGGGTGTCACATTACAGCTTCGTCCGAAAGAGGTTTCACTCCCAAGAGACCTATTTCAAGACACCTTTAGTTAATAATAGAAATGGGAGGACCATTTGCTATGGTGTTCTTTGTGTGAACAGAATACAAGACAAAAATAGACAGGTCATATCAACAGAGAAAATGGAGATTATCATTGGCATTGACGATAGTTTACTTGTAGCTTGTCAGAATGCCTGGATTCCATTCTTTGAAATCAAAGGGGTGTTCATTTAGTCATCAGAGGTGGGGACCATGAGTCAGGACTTTGTGGTTCTAGTCCATGTTCTGCCACTGTGTGATCTTAAGTAAGACTGCAGAGTTCTCATCAAGTAAATACCTCGACACTATTACCCCACCGGGAAAAGGGCACGGGTGCTAAGGTATTTAATTGATTTAACCCTCTTCACCAGGTTCTGCTCACACAGGACTGCAGAGACCTTACAGATGCTACCTGACACTACTGGTTCTTTGAGTAGGGTTTGCACTAGCTAATCCCAAAGCAAAGCCAGGGCCCACAGAGGGTGTCTGGTCTTTGAGAACCCATGCAAGGGAGCATTCTCCACCTCTATGAAATACATTGAATTATGCCACCTGCCACTGCCAAAAGTGAGGCCAGGGTCGCAATTGCTGTGCAGTTTGTGTAGTCATGTATATCAGTGCAAAGTACTGAGATTTTATTCTTTATGATTCCCTACCTTTCCCAATGTCTCTATAGACAAAGTAAATACTGTTATTTAAATTGTTTCAGCCAAGATGTAAAAAACTGAGAAAGAGGAGGGTTAGTACTAAAAATTTCAAATGTGGATTTCTAAAGTTAGTCATCTAAATAAATATTTAGATTTATAATTAAGGTCTGGTCCACAATGGGAAGTTTTACTGCTATCACTATTTCTGTCAGGGTATGGCTCTTTTCTTGAGATTTTTATACTGATAAAAACAGATTGCACATGCAGTTACACTATATAAAGATGGCTTCTATAGAAACAGTTTCATAGATTTCATAGACATCAGGGCTGGAAGGGACCTCGGAAGATCATCGAGTCCAGCCCCCCGCCCAAAGGGCAGGAAGTCAGCTGGGGTCATAGGATCCCAGCAAGATAAGCATCCAGTTTCATCTTGAAGGTGTTCAATGAAGGCGCTTGAACCACCTCCGGTGGCAGGCTGTTCCAGACCTTGGGGGCTCGGACAGTAAAGAAGTTCTTCCTTATGTCCAGCCTGAAATGATCTTGAAGTAGTTTGTGACCATTCGACCTCGTCATCCCTTGGGGCGCTCTGGTGAACAAACGTTCCCCCAGATGCTGGTGGTCACCCCTGATAAACTTGTAGGTGGCCATCAGATCACCCCTGAGCCTGCGCTTTTCCAGGCTAAAGAGCCCCAGGGCTCTCAGCCTGTCATCGTAGGGTCTGCTTCCCTGACCTCTGATCATGCACGTGGCTCTTCTCTGGACTCTCTCAAGCTTCTCCACATCCTTTTTGAATTGTGGAGCCCAAAACTGGACACAGTACTCCAGCTGCGGCCTCACTAAGGCCGAGTACAGGGGGAGAATGACGTCCCGGGATTTGCTTGAGAAGCATCTATGGATGCAAGCCAGCATTTTGGTCGCTAACGACTCTTTGATTTAGAGTTTGGTGGAGATAGAGTAATATATCCTCCTCCTGAGTCCTGACTAGGCCTCTCAATCTGGTCACCTCTCCCCTCAAAGGACTGGGAGTGGATACTGGCAACTCCCTACTACAGGGAAACAAGCAGATTATTCTCCATCTTGCCTTTGTGAAGAAACTGCTAAAGTCCTGTTGTGGAAGGGGTGGTCCACAATTATCTTACTGAGGAGGGCTTCCCTCCATCAATTACTAAATTTTCCACATGCTGTAGCTTAGTATTTATATATGTAACCTAGCTATTAATTTACTTATTTCTTTTTTTTTTCCTTTACCAACATGGTGTGATCATTTTCTAACATATGCAGGCATTTCCATGCTGCAACTACAAGTCATTATGAACCCCGCCCCCCATGTGTTTTGCAAATACTGTCAAATTTAATAGATTCATAGAGTCGGAAGGTACCTCAGTGGGCCATCCAGTCTGACCCCCTGCCCCTGGCAGGCAAGAAGAGAGTCACCAACCCTGGGGTCATGTAATCCCAGCCAGGTGCCTGTCCAGTCTCCTCTTGAAGACCCCCAAGAATGGGGCGAGCACCACCTCCCTTGGGAGCCCATTCCAGACCTTGGCCACTCTAACTGTGAAGAAGTTCTTCCTAATGTCTAGTCTAAATCTGACTACACCAGAGCGCCAAGAGTTTTCAAAGATCCGTGCTAGAGGCTGGGCTATGATGCTCGCCAGCTCCTTGAGTACCCTGGGGTGAAGATTGTCAGGGCCAGCTGACTTGAAGGTATCCAGCTTCTCAAGATGTTCCTTCAGAAAGTCAGCATTAAGGGAGGGCAGGGGATCACCCTCACCCGGACTTCCCGGCCCTGTAGCGGGCATGGGCGTCCCATGGGACTGATGAAAGACTGACGCAAAGTACCTATTTAATAGGTTGGCTTTTTCCTGGGCGTCAGTTGTCAGTTGCCCCATCTGGTCCAGCAGGGGTCCAATGTTGCCCCTGCTTTTCCTCCGGCTCCCCACATATCTGAAAAAGGACTTCTTATTGTCCTTGATGCTCAAAGCTAGCTGGAGTTCAGTTGCAGCCTTGGCTTTCCTGGTCTGCTCCCTACAGGACCAGACCAGTGCAGAATAATCCTCCTTGGAGGTGACTCCCATCCTCCACCCTTTGTAGGCCTCCTCCACCCTTTGTAGGCCAGTTATTCCTTCTTCCATATGAGAAAAGCTGTATTGCTATAAACTTTATCGTATAAAGCATTTATATACATGGGTAGCTACACTGACTCTAGTGGTACTATGCCACTTTAATTATGGTGTTAATACAACGCAAATTCCTAATGTAGATGAGGACTAAATTAAACTTTTTTTCTTCTTTTCTTTTTTTCTTCAAGGTTTTTAACTTCCTGGTTTTGTAATTATTCTTCTTTCATGGACAATATCTTAATTACTCAATATTCCAAATCCTCTTTCTTTAGGAATCCAGTTCATTAACTTACCAAACATTACTAATATACAAGTTGGGTGACAGGGATATATGGCCAGCACTCATAAAATGGAAATGATTCAGACTCAGGATTACTTTCACCTTATGGGCCTGGCTCATAAGTCTCACCTTCTGTATAAATCACATGGTGATCACTAGAAACGGAAATTCACATTGATTAAATGGTGATAAGTCAGGTCCTAAACCTTTCAACCATTGTTTAAAAGATCAGGAGAGATCATTTGCACTGCTAGTTCCCCATGGAAATTTAAAGTGTCCAGCATGCCACAGAATCAACCCTCTTATCCTATCCTCGTGTGTGTGTGTGTGTGTGTGTGTGTGTGTAGACTACAGTACCCACACACATATTTATTTCAAGTTCAAATGATAGAAAAAGAATCACATGCCATCCTTTAAATTGGTAGTGGCCCTGTGTATTTTCTACCAGCCAAGATAATAAAAACAGCCTGAGGACAACTCCAATTCCTTATGCTTATGGGCAGAAATCATTTGAAGGAGCAATCCATACATCACAACTCAAGTGACACTAACCAACAGGAACTTCCGCCTTCTGTGCCACTGCTGTAGCTCGAAAGTTGTGCAACACACCTTTAGTAAACACTTCCTCATGTAGAAACAAGAATAAAGCAGAAACATTCATTCTCTCTCCTTCATTACACAACTGAAGAGGGGTTTAACGCTGAGATCAGCTAGAGGCCAGCCTCTCTCAAGGGACGGGACCACTCTCCAATAGGATCTATTGATATGACTACACTACTTATTTTCATGCTTCTGTTACTTTTTCAGCAACAAGGTAAGCTTTGCCCTCCTTTACTGCAAGGTAGAATGTAAAATAAGTTTCTATACCTTTTTAATTATTAACATGTGGTAGATACTTAAGAATCATAATAGCATTTGTTATATTCATACTCTGTGGAACCATTTGAATAAAAGAGCAGTTCAAAGTTAAAAACTATTATAATCTTGAGCAACACAAAGAAAGAATGAAAGAAAATAATAAATTGAAAGATTAAAAGATTGTATTAAAGCTTGGGCTGAGTTAGTTTTAGAAGTCAATGAGAAAACAGTTTTCCCTTGACAGAGTAAGTAAGAATGTATCTAATTCAGATTGCTTATAACATGGTGACGCTTTAACTGTAAAATAACTAACTTTATTAGAATTAAATTAACAATTGTCTTGCCCTTGAAACTAAATTAAGATGGTAACTGTTGTAATGTTTGTATGGCATTTTCAATATTCAGATTAATACTGAAGTTAGGAATCATTATTTAACTATGTTCTGGGCAATGGACCATGTCTTTTTTAATACATATATTTTTTTCTTGTAATATTGAAGACATTTCTGAGGAAAAGCTTCTTTAGAACCTGGAATACAAATACACATTTACTTGTATACATAGTTTGTCTGTGTAATTCAAGGTCAGTTGGACATCTTTTTACCTTCACTGCACACTCATATTGTATCTAGATATACATTCATTTGTGTGCAAGACTTCTAAGGCTCTCACCCTTAACACATAATGCTTTTTATTTATTTATAAAATTGAGCTTTCATTCCCAAATGTAGCTGAACACTAACTTGTAGTGTTAGCTCCTGTTTAAAGATGATAGGGAAATTGCAAAATTAGTTTCACTTTATCACCATTTTTTGTGTCTGTTGCAACAGGCCCAGAATGTGTTTGTTGCTCAGAAAAGCTATGGAGTTAAAATAAGGCCTGAAGCAAAACAAAGATGATATGGTACATTCACTCTAAAAGACCTACCTGTAGGGAAGCTATTCAAAACAGAACGTAACTGCTTACTTCATATACCTGAAACTTTGCTGCTGTGAATCATTATACCATAAGCAAAAGTCAAAATTAGCACAGGCTACCTGTGAAGCCCAGCCTACACTCCAGCTGCTTGGGCTATAATTTGACCTGCTAAAACCACATTAAAGTATCACCCTGAATACCAGGAAAAGTTTAGGAAAGTTTGGGCTTAGTTTTAAGACTTAACCACTTTTCCTAACCTAGGCAAAGCCAGCTCTGGGCTGTTTCATCAACTCTCACTTACAGAAGTGCTTCATCATCACACAAACAGTCTTATCATGCACCAAATAGGTCACTGATTTCATTGAAACCATTTGCACAAGAAGATATTTCTAAAACTGACTAAAGTGTGCTCATGAAGGAGCATAGCCTTAGGGCTGAAAAAAGACCATGTACTAATGCATGAATGCATTAATCGAAACTAAACTATACATATTGCTCATTAAACATACTGCACTGTCAGCGATGTGGTATGAGCAGCTCCAGAACTGATTAGCTCCCCTCATTTTCAAGGCTTCTAATGGTAGCTTTGGAACTGACTATTAAAAGCCTTGAAAATGAGGAAAACTAGTTGTTTTTGGCAATGCTAAAATCACAGCACTGACAGTGCTTTGTACTCCATGAGCATTGCTTTTACTGTTAGAGTTGTGGTTTTAAACAGTTCAAAACAAACCAGCGCAACTCATTTTCAAAAACTTGTAATTGCATTCCCTTCCCAGCTGCTTCCATTTCTCTGCTTCCCTTTCTCTATAAGTGTTATGTGGAGTACAGGTAGTTACAAGACAGAAAGATACAGTGACAGTTAGTAAGCAGTTAACCAGAGGACAATTAAGTACTATCTAAGACCTGAAAAATCTTATGTGCTAAAGCACTTCATGCATTTAACTAGCATGGTGACAACTGATGTTACCATGTAAGCCACAGGCGACAAATTGCGTCTGGCACTGCATCACACAATTAAGCAAATTATGCATTTATCCAGTACGCATCAAGGAGGAGTACACTGTAATTGTAAAGCTAGAACCATAGAAAGCTGCATACCCCAGGGGCTGAGTTCTTTAAAAAATCTGAGAATATGCCTGCCATCTAGAGGATTAATGGGGGCTTTAAGTGGTGCATAGACTTAAAGCTGTTTCACCAACCAGAAATAAATTTCATTCTTAGAGCCTTTTTTTTTTTTAGAGCAGCTGCATCCCTGCTGTTCCCATTAACTTCACCTCAAGTTATATATATGTGGGGCATGTCTGCAAAATAGGTCCTAAGTTAGTTTCTGGCATGAATCATTAATGTTCTTTGTATACAAAATTAGAAACATTCTTCAACACAGCTTTTTCTCAGTAAGGTCCTCACACCCGCATAGATAACGCAACACACCCACTTACATGAAGTCAGACAGAAAAGAACAAATTGAATCATTGGTCTGTCTCCTTCACCGCTTTCAGCATGCATATGTGTGTTCCTCGACGACAATATATTGCCTAATGTCTTATCTGGACTATTTCAAACACTTCCAGGAATCAAAAGCCACCATTTCTTTTGAGGATGCCATTTAAAGTTGAAAGACCTCACTCTTAGGTCGCATACTGAAAATAAATATTTCCGAGATTTCCAGTGCTTAATTTCACACCATTATTTATAGTTATAGTGACCAAACCTAATGGATTCTTGAGATGCTTCTATGCTCTAGACAGGAATATGCATATCTTGGATACGCTTTCTCATTGGCTCTGGTGTACCCCTCAGTTTAGCCATACTGGCTATGAAAAGAAGTTAAACATAAATTGGTAAAAGTGACCGGAAACAGGTGTAAACCATAACCAAACAGAAGTTCAGTGCACATAAACCAGATTCACAATGGCCAAACCCAGTTTAAGATAAACCGGGATGGATATAGTAGCAGATTTAACTGATTTAGGTTCAACTGGTCTATAGCTACCTAGTGTGTCTTGCCAGAGCCTGGCACCAGTGGAAGCTGGCAAGATGCGCCGGGCACCCCTGGGGGCTTGTGTCAGGTAGTGGGGACTGAAGTGCTCCAAAGAGGGTAGGATCAGGCCCCACCACCTGGTACTATCCCCGCAGGCCACAAAGCGCATCCTGCTGGAGCCCAGCATCAGCGGCAGGTGGCAAGACATGCCAGGCAGCCCCAGGGGCTTGTGTCAGGCGACGAGACCCAATCCTTCTTTCTATGGAGCTGGCCTGGTTGGGGGAGAACAGGATGGGACAAGAGAAACCTCCTCCATGGCCTGCCCCTCCTTCCCCTGGGGACTGACACCAAGGTGGGGGGCTTTGTCCCCCCTCACTCCCCTTCACATTAGTGATTCACACTGGCTTGGCTGCACAGAGGTTGACTCACACCCCTGCAGCTGGGCAGACCAGTGCTCGATAGTATCCCTGGAGTGGGGCTCCCCCCACGTGGGCAGATGCCAGGCTCGGGGACTGGCCCTGAGAGTGGGGAGACTACTTTCTCCCTTTCCCCTGTGCATCAGTGACTCTTGGGGCCCAGCCACAGGGAGGAGAAATTACCTTCATTCCCTCCCCCCACCCCACAACTGGGCAGGCCAGGGCTGGGGGGATCCCAGGCCAGCCTGGGGAGAACTGTGTGGCCAGACACTTGGCTCAGTGGGCCAGCACTGGGAGGGGGGATCTTCCCCTGCCACAGGGAACAACAGAGGGTTGGGGGCATGTGCTATTTAGCAATGGTTTCTGCTTGGCTGGGTTGGGCTGGCCAACAGCTGGCAGTCTGGGAGGCATGCTCTAGTACCCCCGGCCTTCTGGCCTGGGTCAGTGCAGGCTTCTGCCTGCCTTTCCCGAGTGAAAATTTGATGTTAGTTCAGTTCCTGATCGGTTCAGTCTACACAGGTTAGAGAAAACTGTGAAGAGTGAATTGATTCTGCCTCAGGCTTTTTGACTGTCTGTACTTAGCCAACCTCTCCAAAAGAGGGGAATGGTGGTAACCCGGTGCACCACTCAGATGCGTTTTGGTATATTAAACCTTGTTGAAAGGGAGGCTAGGATAGATGGAAATGACATAGACCTAACTGATTCACAGCAGCCAGGTAGGATGGGAAGGTACCTGATAGATTTATGTGCCTTTGCACATGTACGTCAATTTGCAAGTAATACCTAGTAAAAGCAACATACCACTTACTAGAAATACAAGACCAGAGCAATGGCGTATTGCTACTAACGTGCATCGACTGTAATGATCAAGGTCACTAAGGGTTTGATAAGAGCCTAGGCAATCTAGTTCTTCTGTAATGAAATATCTTAGAAGACCTCCATACAACTGCGTTATTGCTGCTATGTTGTATTTAACAATACCCAGCAGCGTACCTGATTGCTACCTGCTATCCAATCCAGAGAAGGTCTCTGTTGGAACAACAAACAAAATTACACCCTAATTCAAGAAAGCATCCCCATTCAGGACAATACTTAAATATGTCCTTAAGTCCTATTTAGTTTAGTTAGCATCTGCTTAAGTGTTTTCTTGTACTTGGAGTTTAGATGCAACAAATGGGTTGTAGGGAAGGTTGGAGGAGAGAGGACAGGGTTCATAATCATAAGATTACAAGATTGCTCAGCTAGTGTAAAGTGTCTTGAAGTAAGATAGGGTGTTTGGGTTTGAGTTTTATACTGAAAGCAAACAGACATCAGGTAGCATGAGTATATTAAAGCCAGTGCTAGCTGTCTTGTAGTACCCAAAAGGAAATTTGTACTTTTGTACTCCTACTCAGAAAAGACTGCTACTTAGTCGGTCAGTCTGAAAAAAAATCTGATTTAAATAACGACTTGGACACACTGGACCAGATGCTTTGGCCCTTACCCTCTGGTCTGCACTGATGTACTATCTAAGCTAAGTACCACAAGAGTCAAGATCATACCTAATCCAAACTAAAGGCTTAGTTATCACCTGAATATAGACTAGATCTGGGAATGAGGAACTGGAAACCATTCCAACATCCACAGGCAAAATACCTATTTTAAGTTGCAGGCAGTCCAGGATCTGAAATACAATCTGTTGTCCTGCTCAGGTAAACCTCAGAGTAACACCCAACAGGGAAATTTGAGAACCTGAGACAATGTTGCCCTTCTGTCTGGGAAGGAAACATGCACCACTGATATGGCTACGGACAGATAAATAGTGACAGATCCACAGGACCAAGAGAAGGGTGCAGGAAGCTGATCTAAACTGATTACCTCTACCCACCTATGCATCACTGGAGATAACACATATGCCACGGGTTTCATGCTTCCCCTTCATCCTTACTCATACCTACACAGCTGTCAGCGGACACACCCTGACACACTGGCCTCAAAGAATAATCTTAACCATGAGAGATAAATTTAGTTGTTAAACAAACAATGTTTCCACTGCGTGTCAAGGCACAATCTGATCCTAACATGAACTGCAGCTTTCCCACATAATAATGGTATAGTAGGTAACTAAAATGTCCTGCAAAATGTGCACATGCAGACATACTGACTAGCAATGAGGTACACTGATTACTTAATAAATTATCTTGTATTCTGTCAGGATTCTGTGTGTGACTATTTCCAGAGAAATGTCCTGTCAGTCCTTCGCGGCCCGTTTCATTGCCACAGGTTATTTTAACATCTAACTTACAACATGCTTAGATTTCTACAGGGCCTGTTCTTGAAATCAGAGAAAAGCCTCAAGAGGAACAAATTAATTTTTTAAACATCCAAATACATAAGTTATTCTGAATCAAACACTCGTATTCTAACAAATAATATCCCCTGCATGCAAACCCTCAGGCATGGTCCATGGAACGGTTCCTTTTGCTCCATCTTCCTTTGAAATCTTTTTAGTTTTCAAGAAAAGAAAAAGAGTTAGCTGATTTTTGGTTTTTTCACTGGAATGTATTACTCCTTTACAAAATAGGAATAATACAAATATCTGTTTCCTGTGCATGTTGCAAGTGTTAATGTTTGCAAAGGCATCCTCAGATGAAAGATGCATGGGAATACCTGCCACTACTGTCAATGAACACAGGCCTGCATTTTCAAGAGTTACAAATATTTTGAATGCCTTCACTTTTCAGGGCCCAACATGAAACATTGTCTCACAAAACACTTTATGCCTCTTACCACATGAGCACTTTAAAGTGCTCAGCACTTACTGAAAATCAGTTCCCTATATATCTCAAGCTGACACTCAAAACCCAAGGCAATCCAAATAACTAGTCGCTTTTCAAAATGTAGGCTATCATCCAGAGGCATGTGCTTTTTTCGGCAAGTGGAGCCCAGGTGCTTGTGCTATGAACTGTACGTAGTAGCCAAAGCAGATATTTAGTATGGTGGCTACATGCCCCTCCCACCTGGAGGGGCTGACTTTTCTCCTGATGTATCCTCCCGTTTCTTCCCCCATCAAACTTCATTTTGTCCATTCTATGCAGGCAATTAGACTATATCATTATAATGGTCCTATTTGGCCTTAACATTCTACAGTTGTCTATGTATGTAACTAGATTCATCACAAAGCAGTTTGGACAAAGTGTTCTCATAACAAAGACAACATATTTCATTACGCTCTGTGAAACCTCAGTATAAGGAGCAAGCAGGGAATTGGAGAAGGATACAACAAAAGGACAGAAAGAGAGGGCTGTAAAAGCAGAACTTTCAATTATCACATGCATGTAATCACACCCAGTAATGTATAATAGGTGAAAACATACCTATAGGAAGAGGATTAACTGGAAATACGTCTGTGAAAAGACTAGCTGTGTACATTTCTAAAGAAGGAATCTGAGAGTGCTGCAGGCTAGCAGCAAATGCTGTGAGTTTACTTACCTATCATATGTGAGAGAAGACAGGAAGAATTCTTTAGGTGGCTTGCACAAGTTTCTGCAACGAGGTCTGGAGATTATTAAACTTTACAAAGCCACATAACCTTATCCATGCCATATGCAAGTTTCTAATGAAGAAGTAAAGCTGGATCTTGCATATCTGCCTCAATGTGCTAAAACAAGATATCAAAAAGAATGATGTGACAATCCAGTCAAACATAATAGTGGTTAGAAACTTGGGAATTTAAAAAGTCAACAACATTTGTTTTGATAATGTTTTCCCCTAGGGAGTGCTAAAAGGAAATTACCTGGGATAAAGGAATATGAAGTGGTATATCCAAAAAAATTACATGTACTGCATAAAAGAGATGTAGTGGGAAACCAAAATCCCAATGGAAAGGTAATAAGAGAGTTTTTTGTTTATACTGGGAGAATGGGAAAGTTTGTCTTGGGTAGAGTTGCCTTGACTTTCAGATAGAGCTCAGATCCAGATGTCAGATTGTAACAGTTGGAGATAGAAGAGCATGACTAGGCTATTGATTCCAATCCCTTGCAAGGGATAACCATTAAGTACATAATAATAATACTCATTAAGTAAAAGGAAGTAGCAAAATGTAAACCTTTGCTTTGTGCAAATTTATGCACAGTGAAACCAATACATTAGTTGGCATTACTAGTAGTTTTTACATAAAATCAGAGCTTAGTAGGCAGTGAAAAACACCAGAATGGAAATATATAGTGTGTCAGGATGTTGAACTCTAGGTCTAAAGTATAAAGCCTTAATGCCATCCCACAGTTTACCTTTGGATGGAAGCAGCACAATGAATTGGCCAGCACTAAGAGTTCTGCTCACCGCTCTGCCACTAACCTGCTCTCTGATATAGAGTAGCTTCTCTGGGTGTCTCTCCAGCTGTGAGATGCAGCAATGAAACCTACTGTGTTTCATAAAGGACTCTGAAGCTACATGCCTGAAAGCAATTCACTATGTGCCTAATGTTATGCACTTTTTACTACTGGTATTATCTGGGCTCCGTTATGTGAAAACACATAAACAGAATAGCAGACAGCTCTGCCCCAAAGGGTTTACAAATAGACAAGCAAAGAGTAGGGTGAAGAGACAGAATATGCCAGCAGATTCAAAATGCTTTAAAGGAATCAGATGCTTTGATGAAACAAGTTGGGATTAAGTTAAGCATGTAACATCAGTACTTTCCTGAATCAGGTCTTCACTGGTTGCTTACTGTAGAACTGTCAGAGGGTTTAATATTGCCTGGGATTTTTTTGGCCCCTCAAAACAGTGAGTACCCAGTAAGGGTATTACTAATCATAATCCACATTCTAATCCTTAAATGTTTGTAGGTAAAATATGACGACACAATGCAATATGAAATTAAAGCCAATGGAAAGAAAATCATACTTCATCTACAGAAAAATAAGTAAGTTTGATTTCTTTTTATTACAAAAATATAACTCCCTATAACCAAAATCATTGGAGAGAGGTATTAGAAGGTATGCAGGGTACAGTTTTCAAATTAAAATGGTATTTACGCTCCTGAGAGACTGGTGAAAATTTAACACTCAAATACCAGATCCCAAACACTGGAATGGAATGGAATAGAACAGAATCAAACTGAAACAGGGCTTGGGTTGCATGACGAAACTCCAAAACCGGCATCTGACGTCCCTTTCATGGTAATGACAAGCATATGACATCCCACATCATGTTGTAATAGCTGCTATGTTCTTTTGAAACTGAATGCTGTAAACTTGTGTGCAAACATGACTCGAGAGCTACTGGAGCAGAAGTTACTTAGGCTGGCTGTACCTCAACTTCCCTTCTACAAACTGGAGAGAATAATACTGACCCACCTCCAGAGATTAATGTGGCGCTTAATTCATAATAATCTTGGGGATCCTTAGAAGGAAGGTGTGAGACAGAGAGAAAGAGGGGGGGAGAGGTCTTAGTTTAGGCTGATTATTCATTTTTACTATTGTTCATTTATACAATCATACTTGCCTCTATTGTTTCCCATTTACTCTTACTTATTTTTGAGCATTCACCACTTGTTTACTATATATAGTCTAGATTATGAACTCTTTGTGTCACAGCTTGTCATTGTGTTATACACCGTCCTTGTGGCACAGAGCATTATAATACACAAAGGGCACGTCTACATGAGATGTTTACAGCTGAGCTGCTTAATTAGCTCTGCAGTAAAGTCTCAACATCTACACGTGTAGCCCTATTAGGATGCAAGACACCAATTAACTTTGTCACAGGTTAATACTTGTAAATCCAAATACTATCCTGCTGTGGTATTTGTTAATGCTCAGCAATGCATGTGTAGATGCTGATGGGGCTGGCTGGGGCACAAGGGTGCTTCATTGTGGGGTTGCCTGCCAGCTAGCCCTGCACTGGAGCACCCTCATGCCCCAGCCAGCTCCTCCGCAGCAAATGGAGCCAGGTTAGAGCAGCCCTGGGCTGGCAGGCTGACCCCCTGTACCCCCAGACTCTCTGCTAGCTGGAGCTGCTCCACCCCAGCTCACCATGCTGTGGTCCCAGGCTCATGTGAAGACACAGTGCCCAGGAGCAATAAACTCTGGCGTGATATGCACTGGGGTTTATTGCTCCTGGGACTAATAGCATGTGTAGATGCACACAAAGATTCATATTCTGATCAGAAAATCCTGATTTCTTTGTGAAGTTGCTAAGTATCCACCTAACAGAAAAGAAGTCATCCTGCTGGTTCACAAAATATTAGGCTTTTAACTCTTAACTACTGAACCTAAACCCAAACAGATCCATCTGTAGTACAGCCAGTAGTAGTTATAATATTCTCTGGGAAGTGAGGACCTTATAGTCTGTGTGTATATATATATATGTTGCAACAGTAGGTTGCAATACTGAATGAAATGAGTGCACAAGAGAGAGCACAATAGCATGCAGAGTAAACATACAATACTATGCAAATATTTTGTCTGCTGGGTGTGACAATATTTAATATTGTGTTGATTTTGGTTATTTTTAATTGGCATGGTTTTAAAAACTTTAAATACAATCAAAGAGGCAACACATTTGGGCTATATATAAAAATCCATAAAACAATAAATGTCACCCCCATTTTTTATTTAATCAAAATATTTTGAGGGAAGTGCATAAGAATGGGGATATATTCTGTACTTAGCTCCAGTCTTTAGAAAATAGTGACCCTGTAAAGTTGCTCATAGAACTGTGGAACATTAGTTCTACCAGAAATAAATGAGACCTCAATTTAGTACAAACTTCAAAGGGCCTACTCACTTGCCTAGTGGTGGGTAATACATAAGTGCTTTCCTGGACCTCGGCCAGAGAGCTCAAGACTCTTGCAGGACTGAAACCTCATGAGCAGAGTACAAGGCACCAGGTCAGAATGCAAATTAAATGCAAAGGACTCAGTATGTGCAGAATTAATGAATTTATTTAATTAACATCATGGCCTCCCTTGAGGTTAAGAAACATACTCTCTCACCCATTCATTCATATATATTAAAAACTATAGATCTATATAAACTTCAAGTAAATTAGTCACTGCGAGAAACTAAGCTGGAAAACTTCAGCCCTAAAGGTTAACATTTGATAAAATTATAAACAGGGGTTTAGGATGATAAGTGTTGGGCAATTATAATAACTGGTAGAACTTCTATCTCAAACATGGTGTCTGTGTGTGCAGGCATGTGCAGACATTGTCCTATACTTTGGTTATTTCTATTAGTGCAAAATGTACATAAAACTGACAGATGTGAATAGTCACATTTCATACCCACTCTGGTGTAAGTGTCTATAAAAGAATGCAGGATAACTTGGTGCATCTACATGTGCAATTAAGGCAGAGCAATAATCTCTGGCACATCACCTGCTCCCAGGTGTGGTGTCTATTCATGTGCCTGGGACCGCATCAATATGACCTGGGACAGAGCAACCCTGGCCTGGCCGGAGGCCTGGAGGGGCTAGCCCTAGGCTCCGGGTGGTGGCACTGGGTAGTGGAGGGGCTGGCTGCGGCACAAGGGTGCTAAAGTGTGGGGCTATGCAGCAGGCAGCCCCCCTGCCCTTTAGCACCCTTGCATCCCAGCCAGCCCCTGTCAGTGTCTACAGATAGGTTTCAATGTATGTAAGTACTCTGCTATAAGACAGTACTGTCCCAAACAGTATTATCTTACAGCACAGTTAATTAATTTACTGCACACTAGTACCGGCACACATAGACAGTGACGCTTTACTACAGAGCTAATTAGTCTAGTCCACAGTAAAGTGCATGTGTAGACGCACCCACTAAGGATAAAAGCTGCACATGGTTACAAACTGTACATTTATATGCTATCCAAAAAATATAATAACAGAATCAACTGGCTTCAGTTGTTCTGTTTTAGAAATTTCCCTTGGTTTGGATTCGGTATACGAACAGGCCAAACTGTCTGTCCAGCAGGTTTCATGCTAAAAATAACCCTATGCAGGCTTGAGACTCATTATGTAATTGCCTCTTCCCCTGATTGCTCCAGCTTAATTATTAGCATGAATAAAAGATGCACTGTATTCTCTCCAGGAGTCTATTTGCCAAGAACTACACTGAAACATATTACTCGCATGATGGTCAAGAAGTGACGACAAGCCCTCAGATCAAGGTAAAATACAAAGAGTTTCCCCCAAGTCTGCAATCACATGGACTTCTATGTGGGATCTGCAAATCCGTGAACAAACAGCACAAGGCATCTATGAAAATATTCAGGTCCTACACAGGCAAAAAGCAGTATAGCTCCACTTGCTTCAGTGAACCAAGAAATGTTTGTTCCTTAACCACAATGGAACTATGGTGATTTACACTAGTTGGGAATCTGGAACAAAGTTTAACTTTTAAAAAAGAAACCCACCTTGTGCCTCCAGAGCTGATGTGCACATACACTGACTAGCTGCAATGTCAGCAGATACCGGAGTGAAACCGGTTGAGACTAAACATTTTTATACCATGTGACTTTTGTGCTTTCATTGTGAAACTATGGCATTCATTTTTACAGCTTAATCCAGGTGAGATCACGGACTCAGATAAACATGCATTCACTCACTCGATCACTTGCTCTGCCACCCACGCACAGAGCAGATGCATTACAGCTTACACCAGGTGGTTTCTTTGGACCGTGACAAATCAGTTACTTAGTTATAAGCACAAAGTCACTGTACGAGTTCCTTTTTAATTAAATGTCTGTCTGTGGCCTTGTCCATGCTGCACTGCAACAAATTTCTCATTTTAAGCCTTGCCATATATATATATATATATATATATGTGTGTGTGTGTGTGTGTGTGTGTGTGTGTGTGTGTGTGTGTTTTAACAACTGAAGTGTAAAAAATAAATGTTCTCTATTGTGGAGAAGTTACAAAAAATAACAGGAATTTAGGTGGAGTAAAGTCTAGGTTAAGACTTTCGAAGCTCTGGGTTAACACTGCAGAGGCTATTTCTGATTGTTTCAATGTATTTATTTTACCAAATGGATGTGTGTAAAACACATAGAATCCACATTTGGTTAAACATGATTCCAAATGAAGCACGTTGACTAAGAATTCCAGCATCACTGATACTTCTAAGTGGTCAAATAACTTTTGGCTTCTCTTACAACACTTGGAGGTATGCAACAATCGTTCATCGCTTTCTCTAATGTTTGCTTTATCAATAATTCTTTCCAGTATTTAGGTGCCTAACTACCTTTAAAAATCTGGCCCTATGCCTCTGAAATATTTTTCTATGCTGGACAGAGGCTGAACTGGGTGGATTTGCCAGCTTTCAGGCAGTGTTGTGTTGAAAGACTAGCATAATGCCACCCCACCAAACCAAACTTATGAACCATAACTTTCTATTTTCATTTGAGGCAGAAGTTGAAACTTTGGAAATTTAGACAATTAAAGTGGATGATCTAGAGGGTTCATTAAAGTGGATGACAATCAAAGTGGATGATCTAGAGGCCTACGCCAAGCCAATAACTAGCCCAAAATAATATAACACTGCTTTTCAACAGGACCACTGTTACTATGAAGGTTATGTCCAAAATGACAGTGATTCAGCAGCAAGCATCAGTGCCTGTGATGGTCTAAGGTACGATTGTAGCTCATCTTCAACATCATAAAATGATATTGATAAGAATGTACTTGTTATTCTCAGAGGCTACTTCTTCCCGAATATTATTAAGGCAGCCAGCGTTGCATCCTGTGCTATAAATAAGACCTCAGAAGCTAGACTTTCTTGAGATGAATCATATGCAAATAGGGCAAGTGGGTATCTTTTGTCTCTACATCCTGGGAAATCCATTTCTGAAGGAAAGGAAACGATAAGATAAAAGGAAATAACCCTTTTTGTGATGTGAATTCATGCATTTCCATTCTAGTTCTAGAGCTAAGTAGGAGTTTGCAAGATGTGTTGCCAGAACCTGTGCGGATAAATCAGCAGAAGACAGTTCTTGTTCAGTGCTTTTGTACATTGTTAGGAGGAGCTGTGTTGCAAGCATTCCACTGTTTTGCATGTAACAATTAACTGAAAGATCTGTTTGTTCCTAACAGATTTCATGGCACAGTTTGGCAAGGCAAGAACATTAACCCTGGGTCTTGTCAAGAAATCTGAAACTGGGTATCAATTGATTTCAGCCATATTTGCTGTCAAGTAAAACCACTTGCTTCCAGCTGACACATTCTGAAATGAAACGCTCTGATCTGAAATGTCAAAACAGTTATTTCGATGAAAACATATTTTGTTCAGTGATTGAGACTTTCTAATTGAAATAGTCTGAACTTTTCATTCCGGGAAAAGCTTTGGTATTTCAACTTCTCATCTCAACAAGTGTCAAAATATCAGCATTTCCCACAAGAGGGAACTTAAATTTTCCAGTCAGCTCAGATGAATGCAAAAGTCATAGTCAAATTTCTATTGCATATGCCTAATTCAAATATAAATAAATCCATTGTCTTGACCTAATCTCCCTTAGCTTGACAGCATCTGACTTGGAAACGTCACCTAACCACCTGATTTCCCAAATTTCATAATGACGTAGTGTTCTTTACTTCCCTTTTTAAGCTGCTGGTTAATGTTTTCCATATTTCATTACACTGGTATGTAAAAAGGTCCCTATGTACACGTACAGGCAGGGGTGGGCAAAATGCGGCCTGGGGGCCAGATGCAGCCCGCCAGGCCATTCTATCGCGGGGCCTCTAAAAAATTTAGAAAATTAATATTTATCTGCCCCTGGTTGGCTGTCATATGGCCCTCAATGGCTTGCCAAAACTCAGTAAGCGGCCCTCCGCCCAAAATAATTGCCCGCACCTGTGTAAAGGGCTAATAGAAAAAAAGCGCTATATGTAAAATACTATTGTTTTGTCAAAATCCTATGAATTCTCCACAATTATTGTCTTTATTCTAATATGAAGGGTTATAAAAAATGTTTTCCAGAGGATATTTCAAGACAAGAGGTCAGAGATACCTTATACAACCTCTGAAGCTCAACGATAGTGAAGAACATGCAGTCTTTAACTATGAAAATTTGGAAGATGATGGGACTCCAAAAACCTGTGGTGTAACCAACACTACCTGGGAATCAGAAGAACCTATCAAAAAGTCATCCAGGATGAGCAACTATGAGGAAGTTAGTATAAATCATGAAATAAGTTAAATGCTCAGGAGAATTTTGGGGGACTGCTGTTTTTAATTCCAAATTTGCGAGGGTGAATTTCATAGATTTCATAGACCAATTTATTGGTTCATCAGCAGTAACCAAAGGATAATGGGAGCCTTGGATTTGCATAAATATTGGAGGGAATTCACAGTGGAAATGCAGGAAAGGGGACAATCTTTTGGCAATGTGTTTCATACACTGTGTGCTGGCTGATAGCAACAGGTGACTCTGTGCCTGTAAAGCTGAACAACTTCTTTATAAAGGCAGCTATTTACAGAGACACTCTAACTATGGCTGGCATGCCAGCGATGCACACACAGACCTTCTTCCTGGTGACTCCATGCAACTCTCTTGCCCTTCAGGCAGTGATCCTCCCTCCAAGTTCAATACCGTTTACTGCAGCGTATATATTGGTGCTATAGTCAGGATTCACAGCTTTACAACTTAATTCACCAGTGATTCTTTCACTTTTCTTTCAGACCAAGCTCAATCCTAAATCAGCTCCTGTAACTATGGTCTGGATTCTCTAGCCCCTTCACCCCTTCTGTGGTCCCTTTCAAAATCTTTTTATGCATGAAATACTGTAGGTTTCTACCCATATACCATGAAGAAGTGTCCAAAGTAAATGCACAGATATTGCATGGTAAATGCAGGTTTTACACAGCAAAACAAGCCACATGCTTGTGGCACCAAGCAAACACAGCTATGCTGCTTCTGGTTCAGGAGGCCCTGACCCTACACATGCAGAGGAGCAGAGGATGTGGGAGTGTGCTGCTGCTCAGCACAACAGGTTATTGGGACAGCTATGCTATTAGTTCCTCAGCTGTAAAATGGAGGCAACAGCATTGCTGCTCTGAGGAACTTAGATAGAGGAACTACTTTATTATAAAATATTCTTCTAGAATCTGAAGTGGGCAGGTTGAGATAGGTGCTAATAATCTTTTAAAAAATGCTTTCTTTAGAAACAAAAATACCTGAAAGCAAGAAAATATATTGAATTCTACGTAGTTGCAGACAATGCCATGGTGAGTATTCAAAAACACTTAATTTTACCTTTACAAACACAATGCGGGGGACTGTAAAAGCATTCAGAATGGGCATGATTATGCTCCCTTGAAAATCAGTGAAAGTTTTACTACTGTCTTCAAGGAGGAGCAGCTAAACCAATAAAACCAATAAAAGCATTTTATGAAGGTATGAAACTTGGAATGGACAACAAGGTGTGTCACAAATAAGGCTCACTGGAAAAATTGTATCTATCCACAAGCTGCTCCAAAGCCTGTAGATCCCATGGGGCCTTGGTGACCCCAATGGGATTCTGGGGAGTGCATCTCAGTATCTGCACAGAGCACCTTGCAGATCAGATCATAAGTTTGTGAACTACCAAAGAACGCTTTGTTCCTGTTACCTTTAGCAAGTAAGTTCAGCAGCACATTGCAAAGCTGGGCCGCTCTTGAGTAGAGGGCAGAGGGAAGACTGCAAAGAGAGGCATTTAGGGTCAGCAAGGTATTTATGAGACATGCAAGGGCTTGCAAACAAGGAAGGAGATTTTAAATACGGGAAATAACATACAGCTGGTTCCTGATCCTGTTATGCAAGTAAGACATGGATATAAAAACAGTTCTGATCCTAAAAACACTTAAAGACATGACTAATTTTAAGCACAAGTATGGTCCTAGTTGCAGGCAAGAGAAATACCAATGGGCTTACCAGTCTTTGTATACAGGATCAGATTCACAGCTCATGATAGCTTTGATAGTGGGGTTTTAAATTTACTCATTCTTCAGCATCACATTTAAAATCCATCGGGTCCAATACTTTCCAATTCAAGGAATTATATCATGGGTAAATTGGTTTCCACTATCTAAACAGCAGAATAACTGGAAAGGCAAATCACCTTGGCATGAACAGGAAGAAAAAGTAGACAAGTAGACCTAGTCCATAGTTTCTAAGAAAGCTGTGAAAGCATAGCACTTCCATCAGATGGCCCAGTTTTCAGGGGGGAAGTTTACTTAGGCTCCAACATTTGCCAAATGCAGAAACTTGACACTGGCCCAAGAGCAATTTCTTTTAAAGTAATTTTCATAAAACTTTCTATTACCATTTGTTTTTATGTTCTAAGAGCCACATTCTCATTTGCTCTAAGGCCTCTTTATATTATTCTGGCAGTGTAAAGGGAACTTAAAATGGGAGGAAGTAAACTTTATACCTGCTATAAGGCCCCTTACACTGCCAGAACAGTGTTGTCACACGAGAATGAGAATCAGTCCTTTTAAATGGCAGGAAGAAAACCAAATCTATATGAATTCGGGGGAATTTTCTGCTTTTGTGCTGAACCCTTGAAGTCCCTAGAGAGTTGCCTAAACTATGGCAACAGAATGCTGAGTTGTGCCACTGAGAAAAGCAGCCCTGCCCACCCACTCCATGCATCGGTATGAGACGTGAGGTGCTAAGGACACCGTGAAGGTGCCCCCAGCACTGTGCACACAAGTGACGGCATAGGGTCACTCAGAACACAATCCTCTCTTCAGCTGCAATTGTGTAAACTGGAATTAAATTAAGTGCTGAGGACTTACCTTGGGGGAAAATGGATATAAGTGGCATCAGAATAAGGTCTTAAGTATTTACCTTCTATTTAACTTCTCTTTACTTTCTTTGGTCTCAATTCTTCTATCAGGTAGGACACCCAATCAAAAGACCATTAAAGTCAAGGAAACAGTATTTCCATTGGCTTTAAGGGGTTTCAGATAAGACCTGAAAGGTTTATTAAAATGAATAATCTAACTAATTTTATATTGGCAAACACTTGTGGTAAGAAGTGCTCAATCTGATAATAAATTCAGCAAGCCTCTGGTATTTATAGTTATCTTAGCCTCTAAGCACTGACTTAAAAATACTGGACTACATCCTTAGTTACTGTAAGTGAGCAGACCAGATCAGATCCTAAGTTACTGTAAGTGTCTGCAGACTAGCTTATGCATCACATGTCTCACTTAAAATCTAGAAACAGAGTTTACATATGGTGTTGAGTCCCTGCACAGATCCAGCTACCTTCCAGTGGAAGCAGTTTGAAATATATTCACAAGGCCAGCCCTTGGCTTAAGGTTAAATGAACACCTGAAAAATGCACAGAGGGGATAAGGAAAGGCTGAAAGAACTAGGGCTGTTCATTCTAGAGAAGAAAAGACTGCAGTGGGGATTTGATAACACCTTGAAATACCTGAAGGGGAATTATAAAAAGGATAGAGAGAGACTTTTGCCTGTGGCTGTAGGGGACAGGACTAACACTGGTGGCCTCAAACTGCATCAGAGGAAATTTAGGTTGGAGATTAGGAGAACTTTCTCACTATGACAGTGGTTAAACGTTGGAACAGGCTACCTAAAGAAGTTGTGTAATCTCCATCCCTCAACATTTTTAAGAGGATGGTAGACAGTTACTCAACTGAGATGATCCTGCCTTGAGCAGGTGTGTGGACTAGATGACCTCATGAGGCCCTTCCAGCTTTGCTTTCTTACGATCCTATACAATATGACATGAATGTTTGATGAAATGGGAAAGTGAGATCAGAAGTTATTGTACTTCAAAAAATACCATGACTTTGTGATACAGTTTTATCTGAAGTGTTCAAAATCATTTCTTCTAATCACTTTTCATTTTTCTTATCCAGCTGCTGATGATTTTCTATTTATTCTTGCAGTATAAAAAGTACAAGTACAGTGTCCCGAGTGTAAAGGCAAGAGTGTTTGAAATAGTCAACTACGTCAACATGGTAAGTTCAGTTTGTTGAGTAAAACTGCCTAGAATCCATAATTTTTTTCTCTGGGAATGTCAGCATTTTTTTGCATTTGGATTGAGGAAATCCCAATAATTTCAGATTCACTGGCATTTATGAGAGTGAATAAAACAAACAAAGGTCCAGATTTAAAAAAAATGAAACAGGTATTTGTCCCTTCATGTACATAACAGCAAGAGAACTGCAGTATCAAATGACTTAAGTCTAGAGATAGAGCCTCATTCTATACACTTCATAATGTCAACTGCACATTGAAGTGTGCACTCAGTTCCATCCACCAAGTTATTAACAGAGATATGATGAATGAAGTATTGGACCCAGACAGATGCACAACAGACCATTATAGAGCTCTGACAGATAAACATCTTCCCGCTCTAACTTATGACCCTTCACAGAAAGTGCAATGAGTTAGGGTGACGATCCCCCCCCACAATCCAATAGATGTTCACTGTTGGTTCAGGGAAGGGTGAGGGGGAGAGGCTTTGGAGCTGATCCAGCCGAGGAGCTGCCTGCCTGCAACCTCTATCCCCTAGCCCTGCCCTGCCTCCACTCCCAGCTCTGGTGCTGTCGGCAGGATGAGGAGCTGCCTGCCTGCAACCTCTCTCCCCTAGCCCTTCCCTGCCTCCACTCGCATCTCTGGTGCTGTCAGCAGGATGGGAGGGAGGAGTGGGGGGAGCTCCAGGCTGGGGGTCTCCAACCCACCCTCCCCACCCTCCACCTCAAGCTGGGCAAACCCCAGTATGCAGCTTGCTCCCCTCCCTTCTCCCCTTCCCATCCTGCAGACAGCACTTGGTGCGGGGCTGAGCTGCATCAACACAGCCCTGATCACATGCAAAGACTGACAGAAGTTCGTAAAGATGCTCCACTTTGGATTACCTAAAGATGAGGGTTAATTTGGCACTCCATTGAGCACTTTTAAAGTGCTCTGAAGCCATACACTTTGGTCTGGGCATAGCTGTAGAGCACTTTCAGGGAGCCAACTGTATGACAAATATCACTTCTGTCAGTGCCTATAGATTCCCACTTGATACCTCTTCCCGGTTGGATATGATGCAGAATGATGCAACCAGCTGGGTATCCAAATTCCGGTAGTTTCATCTAGACTGTATTTCCTTAACTTAATAATGAGAAAGACATCTTTAACTAAATCAAATATATTAAAGAAGGGTTTATGGCTCATTATCCTAGCAGTTGTTATTAAAAACTGCTTAATGCTTGTTGAAAAAACAGGGTGCACGCTTTATTTCTTTTAAATGCAAAATTTTTTCAAAATTACTGTTAGAATTTGCAACTGTGAATTTTTCTGTATTTGGCTTAAAAGATGCGGAAACATTTTCCCCAACAATTTGAAGATTTTTGTGTTTCAAAGTTTTGTTGGACTTCTAAAATGCAGAAAAGTTCATGTTTTGGAAGTGATCACATTTTGAGCACTCACAATGGGTTTGTTATCAGAAAATGTCCTTTGTTTCTGAAAAACTTAAGTGTTTACTGCTAACATCAGTGATGTCTTCTCATTTCAGGTTTATAAAATGATAAATACTCATGTGGCGCTAATTGGCATAGAAATCTGGTCAGATAAAGATAGAATAGTTGTGAATTCATCGGCGGGCGTCACCTTAGACAGATTTTCATCATGGCGTTTTTCAGATCTGCTGGAGCGGAAGAGACATGACAACAGTCAGCTACTCACGTATGTGTCATGTTCTCTCCCAATGGTATTTCCAAACATGTCCAAGGGGTGTGTTTTTAAAATTTCTTTACAGATAAACCAAAGAAGCAGTCTCTAAAGCTGAAAACAAACATCTCTTTTGTGCCACCAGAGCAATTTTTAGGATTGAAAAGCAAAAGCCTATGCCCTTTGTGCCCTATAAATGCCTTTGTGGCCACAACAAAAGACAGTAGTAATTTGTTCAATTTTTTCATGGCCGACATCTATTTGCCTTATGGTGCAAGAGCATGGGCAGCTTGGAGCTGCCTGCATCCACCCCAGACAAGTGCTTCCAGGGCTTGGCAGACCTGGCCCTATGAATTCCCATGAAAAATCAGGCCTCTCAAGCCCTGGGAGCACCTGGCCAGCTTTCCCTTCTTAGAGACGTGTGCCCAGGAATCTCCAGATCACATCTCTGCAAGCAGGGAACATGTCCCCTATTGTCCCACATGATCAACAGGCAGGACAGTGGGGACATGCAATTTGTCCAGTGAAATGGAGCAGCTGTGCTAGGTCACATCCCAGCCCAGATGATCCACGTCACCTGGCAACCTCTATTTATATCCTCAGGGACTTTGTCTTATACTTTCAGACACTGAATTGTTGCATGCATAAATGGAAAGGGCAAGATCTAAGTCCCAACAAAGTCACTGGGACTAAGTACAGACAGTCAAAAAGCCCGAGGCTGGATAGATTCAGTCCTTGCAGGTTAGTCTAAACTGTGTAGACTGAGCCAATAAACAAGGAAACAGGCAGTTACTTCAGATTCCAGAAATGTACCCGCATGCCTGCAATGGCCGAGGCTAGAAGCCAGGGCACACTAGAGCACTCTTCCCTGCTGGGCTTGGGGGAAGGGGTTGAGGGGGAAATGCAAAGCATCCTGGGATGCTGGGAGACTGTGACAACATAGGAATACCAGAGAATGTGTTTTTCTAGTATGACTACATTACCATTAAAATTCTGTGAGCAAATCTCATGGCTCAGGGCTTTTGTTGATCATCTTCAGAGGCCAAGAATTTTCTTCCCTTAACGGACAATTGGACAGATGTATTTTAGGGATTTTTTCCCCCCACTCACTTTTTCTCAAGTGTCAGGGATTAGATATGACTAGCCACAGGACAAAGCAGGGGGATCACTGTTCTGAAGTGGTACAGAAAGTTTTCCTTCTTATATGACATGCTGAAGTCCAAATGATAGCTTGGTTTAAACTGTCAGAAGAAACTTTACCCTGGCCACATTGGCTTTTCTAAAAATCTCCTCCCATCCCTTGATTGGTCCTACCCCTTCAGTTCTGTTAAAAATAGTACCAATATTGTCAGGCTTGCAACAAATCATTATGTTTCACATTGTTATTTTTTTATTTCTTACAGAGGGATTCATTTCCAAAAGGGAACAGTCGGACTGGCCTTTGTGGGAACCATGTGCAGTACTCATCATTCTGCAGGTGTTATTGAGGTCTGATTTGCCTTTTTAGCAGTTGAATAGCATTTAACCAGGGTACAATCTTTGTAAGAATGAATAACAGAGCATTTTTGATGCCCTTTGGTAATACATTCCATTGCCTAATCACTAAGGAAGTGTGTATAGCGCTATGAATTTGTAAACTGAATGTGAGGATCAAAGCAATCCTACATAAATTGTTGTAAAAGAAATAGATACATGTTTTGACTCCGATGAGAAAATCACAATTTTAGTTTTATTAAAAGTAGAAATGAACAAACTGCTTTGTAAATGAATAAATGGTTTGGAAAAGAAATAAGAAATAGACATGGGACTAAGCAACAACTCTAGATTTACAGTCTACCACTGAATACTGGGAAATTTCACTTTTGAAGTCAGAGTCCAAGTCTGATCTCACTAAGAACAGAACTAAAACATCAGTGCCAAACACTCCCTGATCTTTGATGAAATTCAGTTTTGTGAGCCCTTTAAAAGGCCTGGGGTCCTAGATATAACAAAGTGAAGGGTAATGTCTGAAATAATACAGTGTGTTCATCTTGACTTTTATTAAGTTCCATTATCAATGTTATCTGGACTTCTATCTAAAAGAAACTTGGTGCCAATAGGGCTAAGATTCCTTGATACAGTACCATAGCAAGTGCAGAATACCGATCATCCAAAGCAACACCACTTTTACTTTTTATCCCACCACACAATATTTAATATTGTATGCAGGCATTAAAGAGACAGAGCACGCATCTACATGTGCAATTAATGTGACTGAACATACTCCAGTTCAATCTAAGCCAGAGTAAACTAATCCTGGAGTCACCATCTACACATGCTTTTAAGTACGGTAATTTACTGCACTGCCAGATGCCACTTGTATCTGACAGGACTATCTGGCAGTGCAGTAAATTAGTCTTCTGCACCCTAACTGCTGCACACGTGTAGACAGTAATGCCTTAGTGTGCAGCAAATAAGTCTGCTGCGCAGTAAAATGTCTTGTACAGGCGTGCCTAGAGGGAACAAATGAATGAACAAAAGTATTAACATAAGGTAAAAAATTAAAACTAGGATTGTTAACAAAGAAATATCCAAAAAAATTAAGGAATTTAGGTGTCAAATTCTCATAGAAACAGCATGACAATGCTGCCTCTACACCAAAAGTTATACCACTATTACTATACATAAGCGGCACTAGAAAATATTATTTGGGGGGGACTGGCTGGTGCAGAGCGCATCTGCCTGACTCCGTGCCTCTCTCCCACTGGGCCATTCCAGAGCTAGCACATGCTGAGGCTGTGCACACAGTGGCAGAAGAGCGCATGGCAGGGGTGTTGGGTGTGGTGCTGCGGCAGCAGTGGCACTGGAGCTGCTGTCACAGGCCCAGTTTGGGGGGCGCTAAGCCCCGTTAGCCCCGGCCTTCTGCCGCCTATGTTACTATGGTAGTTAGAGGTGTGAACTTTTAACTGACATAAGTAATTTAGTATAAACTCAAAGGTAATACCAGAGTATTATATTGGTGGTAAAACTTAGTTCTCAAACTGAAATAAATTATATTAGTATAAACACTATACTGGTATAAACAGCTGTTTTATATCTATTTTATATTGGTTTAATTGTATTAGCAGTATGGTAGGTGTACTGCTTTAACCTTAGTGGTATACTATTAACTAGCAAAACTCTTTTGTGTGAAAAACTTTAGTCTTCTTTAAAAAATCTACTCTAAGGAAACATCCAGACAAACAAAGATGCTCTTCAATGAAGGTATAGTAAAATAAATATTAAGAATTCCTTTCCAATTTTCAATTATGTAAAATACCCTCATCTTATCTGTTTTATAAAAATACATAGACACTAGTGCTGCGCGAAGCTTTGGGTGGTGACTCCATTCGGAGGAGGTTCGGCACAATTCAGTGGCCGAATCTCCGAATCTGAATCGAACTGGGGACCAATTAAAAGGTCTGAATCGATTCAAAGCTCTCCAAATCTTCAGAAAAGATTCAGAGAGCTGTGATGATTTGGATAGTCCATGGTGGCTGCAGCAGGGAGCTGCAGCCGGACTCCAAGCTGGTAAGTACTAGGGGTGGGGGAGGGGACCATGGGGGGACTCCTGCCAGCCCCCTGACCCCTGCCCACTCCCTCAGCCCCC